CTGCGCACCAGGGGGTGGGTGGCCAGCACCACGCCCGCCCGCCTTTGTCTCGACGAGTACCTGGTGCGATGTTTACACGCCGCGCCAGGTACTCATTTGAGGCTGAGTCGACCTCGGGGAGGCCCAGGACTGGTTCAGACATTCGTCACCGGTGTTGGTGGCCGTGAGCGGGAATCTTGTGCACGCGCATTCGTTGGAAGAGAACACCTTGATATATAGAGGGCCGCAGAGCTTGGAGGGGGCGGGGATTTGGCGCCGGCTCGCCGCCTGGCTGCTGCTGCTGGGTTTCTTCCCGCTTGTCCGTGGCTCCTCCTCACGCCTCTGAGTCGTTCTCTCTCTGTCTCCATCGCAGAGTAAGCGTTACAAGTTGACAACATCGTCGCGCGCGGTCCGCGAACCGCTGACCCCGCGTCTCCTGCCCAAGCAACGACACACAGCGAGACATGTCGACTCTTACACGATTCCAAGCGTACACCGTGAGCCGACAGAATCGGTGCACATCGATTAATCTGCACACAAGGCACAATCGCCCTCGTTGACCGGTCACAATTAAGCAATGAGGTGCAGTTTGTTGCTGGCCGTTTGACGTCTTTGGGGCCTTTTGGCCTTGTGCTAAAAAAAAACATCGTTTAATCAGAGCAATACATATATATTTTAAAAGATTACATATAAGAACGACAGAACAAGACGATGTTGTAAGAGAGGTGAACCCGCTTTTAATGGGCAATACTCACAACGGGTCGCTCATGCATCATCACGTTGCCATCGGAGCGTTCGCTGCAGATTCCACCCGAACACCGCGGCCTCACGAGGACAACTTTCGCGGGGGTGGGGGGCACGGCAGGCCACGCACATCGCGAGGGTCTCTCCGTCGCCACGCTTCTCGACCGCGGTCCGCGTTTGACATGAAAAAAGGACCCCGCGAATTACTCAAATTGGAATATTCACTCGATCGGGCATAACGGAGTCGGCAGACATTGTTGACTACTATATTTATCCAAGAATGTCAGTGTGTAACGCGCGTGACGTCACTCCACGTCGACCAGCCCCCCCTCATTAATAATCGTGAGCAGGTGACGTCACTCCACGTCGACCATCCCCCCTCATTAATAATCATGAGCAGGTGACGTCACTCCACGTCGATTAGCCCCCCTGACTAATAACCATGAACAGGTGACGTCCTCCAAATAGATACCCCCCCCCATTCATAATAGAGGGTGACGTCACTCCACACGGGGGGGCGAGGCGCCTCCTCCCCCCTCCTCAGCGTCAACTTACAACCCTCACTACAAAGGCAGAACCCTCACGTCACGTGATCTCCGTAACGCTTTTGAGACATAGAAGTAAAAAGGACGTCATGATGAACAAGGGATTATAACTTTTAAATGAAATAAGTCTGTGTCACCGCAGCATTACAAATTGCACACGAATGGATGCAATGAATATCATGTCGCGATCTGCTTTTCGCTTGCAAGTTTCAGATTTACTGCAATACACCCGTCCTTGGACGGGCAAAAGGCGAGTATATATTCAAATCTGCTTTCAAAATCCCATCTCTTTAAACTGAGCCTCCCCTCTCTAGTTTGGTCGGTTGGCCCTGATTATGTTTTTGTTTCCTGATTTTCATGCATTGCGCATTTGGATCCTAGGATGGAACGCGCATTATTATAATAATAATAAATTAATATACACGAGCAGTAACCGCCCACCCCACTGCACAACACTTTGGCAGGGCCCTCCTGTAAACGAGCCGTGAGACTCATTGAAGCTCTCCTTGGCCCACGAGCGTGATAATAATAGAATTAAGTAGCCAGTCTTTCTCCATTGAAATACAGGTCGGGTCAATGGCCATTGCACGCTGCACGCGCCACGTGACTGTTAAACGATGGCACCGCTTGGCACGGAGAGCCCTTCTGCATCACAACGCTCGACGTCACAACGCCTGACACACGGAGGTCTCTTTACTTGAATTAATCACGTGACGCTCAACTGACACTCACCTATCAGCTGGCCCTCACCTGACACTCACCTACCACCTGACGCTCATCTGACCCTCACCTGACACTCACATATCACTCAACGCTCACCTGACACTCGCCTATCACCTCATCTTCACCCAATAATCAAACATTCGCATCGATTGCTCTCCTCGGACGCGGCTCCAATTACACATGCCCGCAGATCAGGGTTGCACCATTAAGGTCAAAACGTACAACGAACGTTCTCTGCTTGTGATTAGCCTACTTCCCTCTTCGCATTGTAATGCGGTTAATCCAGACATGGGCAAAGTATGGCCCCCGGGGTGTATACGGTCCGTTGGGCTTTTTAATCCGGCCCGCCGAACCTGTCCAAATATTATTATTAAATTGAATTTTACCGTTCTCCTGCAATGCCCCCATTTCCCCATTAGATGGCGCACTTTGACCGGGAGTGTGGTGTATAGGGCTCGAAAGGGCACATGATCTCGCAATGCATTGTGGGCCGTCAGCGCCATTTTCAGGGTTTGTTTACATTGCTGAGTTAGATACGGTGCTCCCTTCACTTTTTCGCCTTGCCCTTTGAGTCCTTCTGTAAAATGAGCGGATCAAGGAAACGAAAAGTGGACAATGAGTGCCGAGTGTTTAACACGGAGTGGACAACAAAATACTTTTCACTGAAGTCCAATCGAAGGCTGTATGCCTGATATGCCGAGAAACTGTTGCAGTTTTCAAGGAGTAGAACATCAGCCGTCACTTTGCTACGAAGCATGCTAATGACGCTAGCAAGCAGCCAACGCAAGAATGGGTGGCTACGGCTCAGAGGTTGGCGGCTAATTTACAGACTCAGCAACATTTTTTTCACCGACAAATTGCGATTCAAGAGTCAACTACCAAGGCAAGTTTTTTTAGTGGCATTCGAAATAGCAAAGGCTAGCAAGCCTTTCTCTGAAGGCGAGTTTGTAAAAGAATGCATGGTACAGACAGCAGACATTTTGTATCCGGAGATCAAAAGCAAATTTGAAAAAGTCAGTTCATCACGCAGGACTGTGACTTGCTGTGTGGAACTGATTGATGAAAATATAGCCAGCCAATTAAACAAAAAGTCTGATTCCTTTGAGTTATATTCACTAGCACTGGATGAAAGTACGGACGTAAAAGACACTGCTCAGCTCCTCATTTTTATCCGAGGCATTGACGACAGTTTTGCGATAACAGAGAAGTTTTTGACCATGGAGTCCCTGAAAGGAACAACGCGGGGATAGGACTTGTATAACCAGGTGTCTGCTGTCATCGAAAGAATGAAGCTACCTTGGAGTAAACTTGTCAATGTCACAACGAATGGATCGCCAAATTTAACTGGAAAAAATGTTGGGCTGCTGAAAAGAATCCAGAATAAAGTGAAAGAGGAAAACCCTGACCAGGATCTTATTTTCCTTCACTGCATCATCCATCAGGAATCCCTGTGTAAGTCTCTATTGCAGCTTAATCATGTCGTGAATCCAGCCGTAAAACTTAACTTTATACGAGCAAGGGGACTTCAGCACGGTCAGTTTATTACGTTCCTGGAGGAAACTGATGCGGATCATCAGGACTTGCTGTACCACTCTCGTGTCCGCTGGTTAAGTTTGGGGAAAGTGTTACAACGAGTGTGGGAGCTGAAAGAGGACACCATCGCATTTTGGAGTTGATGGGGAAATCTGACGAATTCCCTGAGCTAAGCGACAAGAACTGGCTTAGTGACTTTGCGTTTGCTGTGGACATATTTTCACACATGAATGAGCTTAATGTGAAACTGCAGGGGAAAGATCAGTTTGTTCACGACATGTACAAACATGTGAAAGCCTTCAAATCCAAGCTCACTTTGTTCTCCAGACAAATTGCGAACAAATCTTTCGCTCATTTCCCCACACTTGCCATGCAGGAAGAGGCACCGCGAAACGCAAAAAATACAGCAAATCACTTGAGGACCTGCACGGAGAATTCTGCCGTAGGTTCTCTGATTTCGAAAACATTGAACAGTCACTTCAGCTGGTGTCCTGTCCCCTGTCACAAGACTCTGAAACAGCACCACAGGAGCTGCAGTTGGAACTGATAGATCTTCAGTCTGACTCCGTCCTAAAGGAGAAGTTCAACTCTGTTAAACTGAATGACTTTTATGCTTCACTTAACAGAGCCACGTTTCCAAATCTCCGGAGGACTGCACAGAAGATGCTGACTTTGTTTGGCTCGCCTTATGTGTGTGAGCAGACATTCAGCGTCATGAACGCCAACAAAGCCCGTCACAGATCAAAGTTAACGGATCAGCACCTCAGATTTATCCTGAGAATTGCCACAACCAAAATAACTCCAGACTTGGATGCACTGGCAAAAGTGGGAGAGCAACAACACTGTTCCCACTGAAAGTGATGATGTGTTGCTGCAGCGAGGTTGGAGCCAAATCTCCGTCACACAGCCTGCGTGGCTGCCCTAACCTGTTAATGTAGATAATAAAGAAGTTCAAGTGAGGTAATTGGTTTGGGCGCAGGCCTCAGATGTTTTCACGATGTTTGATCAGTCACGTTACGACATTTTTTTGTATTGTTCACGTTCGTACAATTTTTTTAATTGCCTTGCAAATAAATGCTTTGCTACCTGTTAAAGGCCAAATAATTTCATGTAATGATTTTTACATGTCATTTATATGAGTTCACACAAACACTCCATCCATCTGTTCCTGGCCCGGCCCCTCTGTCAAATTTTAGAACCCATTATGGCCCGCGAGTCAAAAGATTTGCCCACTCCTGGGTTAATCGTATCGCGTGTCCCCAGAAGCCTCACCGAGTGTGTCTCAGAGCTTTTTTCAGCTGGGTCGATGCACCGTGATGTTCGGGCCGATTCCACTCCCCCCTAACACACATACAATGCACGGTTCTCACATATATGGGGGGGGGGGGGTCACGATCCCACATGCTGTACGGCCACCTCTATTTAGAAACGAAAAAACTCCGTAGGCTACAGCCAGCCACGCCATCCAGACACGTGTTTGTCAGTGTTGTTTATTTGTTAGAGTGTCTGGCCGCTGTTGTCCAACGGGGCTCGGTTTGAGAAGTTTGGCCGATTCCTCTTTTTACAAAATGAGAAATTTCACACGCGGGAGGAAACCGGAGGAACTGGGGAGAAACACCAACAAAAAACTCCACCACGCAAGCGAGGGGACAACGTTCAAAACTCCGCACAGATGGCTTCAAGAGCTCATGACTGCACAATCCATCTCGTAGTCACCACCTCGCAGCCAACTAAAAAAACAACCGCTTGGTGATCCACCAACCCTTGCCTCCAGAGCACTGAATCACATGCACGTGCCACCATCACCGCTACCACCACGCCTGATCGCTCCAAAGCATCCAGCAATCGGCGTTAAGCCACGCATACAACAACAATCAATACACTGCTGTCCAATTCTAAGTAAGTGCAAGCGGCTTCCTTCTCAAGCCGCCCGCGGTGGCTGACGTGGCCATTCGACACGTCCGCGTTAGGCGAGTTCGGTAGGTGACGCTCAACCTTGGACACACGGTAATCCGGAAAGCCCGGCCCACTTCTACATAGCCACGCCCACTTAAACTACTATCTCCCCCCCTACCTGACGTGTGGCCCACCCATGACTCGTAGGCCCCGCCTCCTCCTCTGGAAGCCCCGCTCACTACTAAGCTTGCCCCGCCCACGATCAAGTTAGCCCCTTCCACGACTAAGGTAGCCCCTCTCACTACTTAAGGTAGTTCCGCACACCACCAAGGTAGCTCCGCCCACTACCAAGGTAGCCCCTCCCACTACTAAGGTCACGCCCCTCTTGTCCTTATGGCGAGTCGAGCACGCACAACAGTGACACGATTTGCAAGTGCTGGACGGTCCATGGCACTCGCTTAAATCCCTCGGCAACCCAAAGAAAAGCTGCGGATCACATCACATCTCACCGCGGCCATTCAAATGCCCCTGCCGCAGTCTCGCCAGAGGCCAGATCTGAAATTTTATTTTTAACCGGGACAAGATGCCCGAAAATAATTCGAACGCCTCGGTGGCGGTGAGAATGAACGGGAGAAGCCAGCCCCCCCCACCCGCCCCAGGGACTTATCCGGCTAAGACCGAGGCGTTTTGCTTCGGTGCCGGCTTGTTTGTCGCTTCGGCGAACGGAGGCGTCACCGCTGGCTGCAGGCGCACAGGCTGCGGAAGGCGCTGTTGTAGTTGCGGTTGAAGGCGGTGTAGATGAGCGGATTGAAGAACGAGTTGGAGTAACCGAGCCAAAGGAACACGCTCTTCCACTCCAGCGAAACGTCACACGCAGGTCCGCACAGAGGGCTCACCTGCGCAGAAAGCGACCTCGTCATCATCGTCGTATCATCATCATCAGCAGCAGCAGCCATCACATCAGCAGCAAAACCATTAGCAGCAGTGGCAGCAGCAACAGCGGCCGAAAAATGATTATCGTCAGAAGTAGCAGCAGAGTCAGCATCACCGCATCGTCACGAACAAGCAGCAGCAGCAGCAGCGTAAGATAAATGATCAACAGCAGGATCACAACTATCAGCAGCAGCCGTATCTGCGTCAGCAGCGATAGAAGTACTATCATTATTGTCGTCGTCAGCAGCAGCAACTGCAGCAGTATCAGCAGCAGAGGTAACAGATGCAGAATCGTAGTCAGCGGCAACTGCGGAATCATCAGCAGTAGCAGCAGTGATATCATCACTGAAGCAATATTACCAGCGCACGCAGCAACGGAAACAGCAACGGAGTTATCATCAGCCGCAGTAGTAGCAGCAGCAAATTACCGCAATGGGCATCAGCAGCAGGTTCATCATGATCATCAGCAGACGGATAACTATTGCCATCGTGAAAAGTACTGTCTTGCGAGGTTTAGATCCAGAGGGAGAAACGTTTAAGCTGAGTACTGTATTATAATGGTTTGGTAAATTTCAGCTCATTTTTCAAACAGACTCGCTGTCGTTTGCATTTAAATAAAAAGAGCCGGTGAAGATAAATGCTGACAATAACCATAATTCCCATCGCTTTGTCAATCTACTGCTGGTGGAAGGCCGTATCAACAGAGACTACATTGGAGAAAACCCGGATAACGAATGGATGAAAGATTAAACGCTGTGCCAATTCCCTCTCTCTCTCTTTTCAAATAAAGGGTCACAGGACGTCACACGCTGGGGCTTCAATTCCAGCCAGGTCTTGCCAGGTCGGCGATCTGCAAAATATTCCCGCATCCCGTCACACCACATGCGGTACACTCAGCGCCTATGGCTGTGGCTACGAGTCACGTGCCACACCTCCCGGTCTGCCAGTGGCTCGGCAGCATGTTCCGTGAGAAATTAAGCCCTGGTTCATACATATCAGATGCAAGAGCGCAGTGAGTGTCGTGTCTTGATTGGTTAAACGTGATGAGACGTGGTTGTTAGCCCTATCCCAATTACGGAACGCACTTCAGAAACTTCCAAACGATTCAATTGAAGTGCTTCAACTCAAAACCCATCCAATGCGAGACTGCCTAGAAAGTCCAGGAAATCTGCTGTGGTTGAGCTGGCTAAAAGTAATCAAATAAAATCCACAGACTATAACCCCCTAGCTAAAATTCCTAGAGTGTTTCTTGGCTAGACTAAGCCTACTAGAATTTTAAAAGACACACTAACTAAATTAATAATTTCGATTTAAAGCTTTCGTGACTGCAGTGATTCATCCTCTTTGGTTCTTTCGGTAAAGTCACGTAGAATGAGAATAAAATAATAAATTGATAAAATAAAATAACACAATAATATTCTCACGACGTTTCGGCCACAACACAAGCGGCCTTCATCAGGTGAAGGGACGAGACTGTCTGGTAGGACAGCGCTGGAGTGAAAGAGCCACGTTCAGATCACGACCTTTAAGCTGTGTGAGAGGAAACAAAGCGCCTTGACAAAGGAATTAGCATATAATTTAGCATTGAAATGTGTATGCTTTAACTTTTAACATAGCTATTTCTGTGACCAGTCACAAGCTAATCACTCAGCCATTTCAATGCTAAATTATATGCTAATTCCTTTGTCAAGGCGCTTTGTTTCCTCTAACACAGCTTAAAGGTCGTGATCTGAACGTGGCTCTTTCACTCCAGCGCTGTCCTACCAGACAGTCTCGTCCCTTCACCTGATGAAGGCCGCTTGTGTTGTGGCCGAAACGTCGTGAGAATATTATTGTGTTATTTTATTTTATCAATTTATTATTTTATTCTCATTCTACGTGACTTTACCGAAAGAACCAAAGAAGATAAATTAATAATACCGCAGTAACTTAATGAAGGCCCTCTCTGACATTGCCGCACAGATTTGCCTGAATCTGCCCACCCATCTGGGCAGATTGATTCAACATTCGACAAACGTCTGTCTCCAACTGTTTGCATTTTCATTCGACTGCCTGACATCGCTTTTATAAAATGTTCGTCTTGCATAACGTTCTGGCAACAGACGTGTGGATTAGAAAATGTGAATATCGATGTCATGCGGCGTTTTGAAATGTCAATACGTATATGAATAAAAATAGCACCGAGGCTATTTTTTTCAGGGCATCACTCTTGGGCAAGAGAGATTTATTGCTGCAGACAAGGTATTGGCTTCGACGAAAAGCCAATTGCCTGACCTGTCACTCCTGTTTTCCCTAAATATCACTTCAAATTAATGTCCTGTGTTGAACAAGGTGAAGAAACTTGAATTTTCATTATCTCCAGTAAGGGGACATCTCACACAAGACTAACGTTGGACTAGAAATATATCTAAAACGGGATGGATCAAATTAAAATCTACGTACCCAAGAGGGGCTTTAGCGAATACATTATATGAGCGATGCCCAACAAGTAATACCCCATATATGCATTCCTACTCAGTAATATCTTGTGAACTATTAATTATTGTTCAATTACTTTTGATGATTTTCTTCGCCAATATTATCATCATCATCATCCATAATCAATCCACTGCTGGACGAAGGCCTCTCCCCAAGCCACTGCCACTTCTCATGATCCTAGCACCTGCACACCGGCTGATTTCATAGCTCCAGCTCCTCAGTCGACGTTCTCTCGAACGCGGACCGTTCATTGGCTGCCACTGTCATTATTATTCAGCCATCACCCCCTCTTTACTTTTACAAGCAGTTTGGAAGAGGACATTAACCCGTGCATGGTTAATAATTATCCACGTGTTCCTCTGTCTCTCACCATAACACCAAGCAGTTACTTTCTCGGTAACTTATTTAACTTAACTGATGAAATATATATTCATTTATGAGATAGGTCATGCATGCATGACCTCCTCAACCATGACCTTGCCAGACAGCACACGATCCTGAGAACATCAGAGGTCACTGCAGAGCCCCGAACTGGGCTACGTGAACAACTATTTGAGATCCTGCTGCTGCTTGTTTCGGACGCCTTTTGCAATAAGTTGCGTGACAGGCATGTTGCTGCTACTGTTACGTTTCCTTGTGTTGATACTGCTGTTGCTGCTGCTGAATATTTATTACGCTGCTGATGATGATGTTTCTGTAACTGCTGTCTCTAATTATTATACTCCAGACAGTCTCGTCCCTTCACCTGATGAAGGCCGCTTGTGTTGTGGCCGAACAGTCGTGAGAATATTATTGTGCTATTTTATTTTCTCAATTTATTATTTTATTCTCATTCTACGTGACTTTACCGAAAGAACCAAAGAAGATGAATCCTTGCAGTCACGAAAGCTTTAAACCGAAATATTATACTGCTGTTGGTGATCCAGTTGATGGTAATGATACTGCTGCTGCTGAAACTTTTTCTCTTATTTCTGCTGCAATTAATTTTTGCAGCTGCGGCTGATAATATTAAATGATTATTTTAATGTGAATGCCGAGCACTGGCGCAACACGGCCAGCAACAAGCAGCGCTATCATAGTTGTGAAAAAAGCGTCAACATGTTGATGATGATGCTGATGACGATGCTTGTGCGAATGTGGCTGCAGTTGTTTCTGTAGCTGCTACTGCTGTTGCTGTTGTTACTTCTGCTGCTGCTGGTGATGAGGATGATCGCCATCCTTTAAAGCAGTTCTTCACTGACTTTTAGAGAGGGGGGTGGGGCATCTTTCGTCGATAAGAAATCATCAGTGTGAGGGCCACCGCACTGCCTGCGAGAGGCCTTTTCACTCTTTGTGTATTGTCGTGGACCGCACGTCAGGGGTTGTACTAAAGGCCACCTGGGGCCCGCCAGTGGCTCGCTCGGGGGCCTTGCGATGAAAAGCACCGCTCTAAAGTCTCGGCGTCGCAGCTGCCCTCACCAACTCGGCGGCGAAGAACGGAATCCAGCAGAGCGCAAAGACGCCGATGAGAAGTCCAACCATGAGCGCCGCCCTGCGTTCCTTTCGCTCCCTCCACGACTCCCCCTCGGCCACCTGGAAAGTGACGGCGGCGTGACGAGCCGAGAAGACGGCCTCGGGCTTGCGGGAGCTGGCCGACTCCTGGTGATCGTCCTGCATCGTGAACAGAAGAAACGCGAAACTGGATCACGTCGAGCCGGCGGATCGATGCCACGCGCCGGATCAGAGCGGCGTCAGGTTTTTCCTCCGGTGTGTTTGTTTGTTGTACAGCTGCCGCTGCTACTGTTGTTGTGGTTGTTGTTGTTCAAGTGAGTAGAGTCAGCCACGAGCGGATAGCCGACCGCACGTAACCACACACACACACAGGTACGCTCAACCACACTCAACCACACCCAACCACACCGAGTAATGGTAAACTGGATTTTTATGGTAAACTGGACTTCTATGGTAAACTACACTCCCGTGGTGAACTTGACTCCCATGGTGAACTGGACTCCCATGGTGAACGGACGTGTATGCTGTCGGTCCCAATGTCGCCTTGTGTCTGTATACCAGAGCCACAACAGTTGCAAACAAATGACAAAACGCGGGACTGACGTTCATTGTTCACAGACGGCCGCGACGGTCTGACGATTCTTAACGATGCTCCGCAAATCTAGCGGAGTCTGTGCTCACAACCAGAACAATCAGCAAATAAAGCCTTTCAATGATGAGCATCCCCCCCCCACCCCCAATAAAGACAATGACAGCCTTAGAAGATTGCTTGGTTTCACTCCATTAGTGTGTCCAACTTGCTAAGTCTCGTGCTGAGCACAACACTCTGGCGAAGCAATTGGTCTCCCGTCGAAAGTGACACGGGCAAGGCGATGCTAAGCGGGTGAAGTTCCGATCCCTGTTGCCAACACAAACTGCGGCTTCTACGTGAACCCTTGGCAATATGCTCAACAAGCTGACCGCACGTGCCGATCAGGCTGCCCACCTTTAGATTCAATCGAAGCTTTCCTTCGAAAATAAATATAACCCCCTCCTCCTCGCTATACAATGGGAAGCCAATTTTTCATGAAGTCGGTCTTACCCCCCCCTTCTCTCCCCTCCCCTCCCCCCTTCGCTCAACATCGTCTCTCATTCCGCTGTCTCTCCGCGAGTCCATCGCATCACTCATTTATCTCCCTTGACACGTGGCCTTCCTCTCGCTCCCGTCGCCCCCTCCCCCCACGCCCTTGGCCCCACACCCACCTGATGGAGCCTCAAAGCCGCGTGCGATATTCGCTCAGTCTTCGGTAAATGAGTGCGGGGCTTCGGGGGATGACGCTTCTCTTTGGGGGATAACGCTTCTCTTCGTCGTGGGATCATTGCGTGCGTCTGTCACTGTTGCACGTCTCTTGACGCCTTTCGCACGCGCCTGTGTTGCGTTGTTGCGTTGTTGCATGTTAAACGACCTCATCGGCATTCGTGCACCACCGCTCTTGTGTGGAGGTGTGTCTGTGTGTGGAGTGTGTGTGTGTGGAGTGTGTGTGTGTGGAGTGTGTGTGTGGAGTGTGTCTGTGTGTGGAATGTGTCTGTGTGTGGAGTGTGTCTGTGTGTGGAGTGTCTGTGCGGAGTGTGTCTGTGTGCGGAGTGTGTCTGTGTGTGGAGTGTGTCTGTGTGTGGAGTGTGTCTGTGTGTGGAGTGTGTCTGTGTGTGGATTGTGTCTGTGTGTGGAGGGTGTGTGTAGAGTGTGTGTGGAGTGTGTCTGTGTGTGGAGTGTGTGCGTGTGCCGGGAAAGGTCCTGGCAAGGATTATTCAACATCGCCTTGCCAGGCACGCTGAGGAGAGGCTTGCAGAGCCCCAATGCGGTTTCAGGAAAGGGCGGTCCTGCACAGATGCCATATTTTCTGTCCGTCTGCTACAGCAGAGGTGTAGGGAATTCCAACAAGACCTACATCTCTGCTTTATTGACCTGGTCAAGGCCTATGATACCATCAGTAGGCCTGGGCTCTGGGTTGTTCTTCGTGCGTTTGGAGTACCTGACCCTCTGCTCACGATCATTAAGGACCTTCATGATGGAGAGCGGGCCCGGGTAAAACTACGTGGCCGGGAGTCAGAGCCATTCCCTGTTAACCTTGGGGTGCGACAGGGATGTCCGCTGGCTCGCACATTATTTAACATCTATTTTGACCACGTAGTTCGTGAAGCCTTCAATAGCTGTACCGGGGGAATCTCCATATGGTACAGATATAATGGGAGGCTGATCGACGCCCGGGTGCGGTCAAGGGATGGATCCCTATTGCTCAACCACGTTATGTATGCTGATGATTTGGTAATAGCTGCTCATTCAGAGGAGGAGTTGGAGACGCTGCTGCTGAGACTGGAGCGTGCCACTAAGAGGTGGGGCCTTACCATCAGCCCCATCAAAACTAAGCACCTGCCTGGGTATTTTGTACCATCGGACACTCCACCCCCACAACTCCCAATCGGTGATGGGGCAGTTGTGGAGAGAGTGGAGAGTTTCCCATACCTGGGCAGTGTGCTTATGACTGGCTCCAGTTTAACAGCAGAGGTCTCACTCCGAATCAGTCGAGCGGCAATATCTTTTCATCGGTTGCGTAACGCTGTGGAAGCTACCTGGTCTGTCGCTCCGCACTAAGCTTCAGGTCTTCTCGGCCACGGTCATTCCCTCCCTTCTCTACGTTTGCGAAACGTGGACCCCCCTAATGGAACATCTTCGCCGGTTAGAAACATTTAGGCTGGCCTGCCTACGATCCATCCTGGGTTTAACCAGATTGGATTGTGTGAGGAGCTCACAAATCCTTGAAAGATCTGGGCAAGGTCCCATTGGTGAGCTCCTCCGGCGGGGAAGGCTGCGATGGCTGGGTCATGTAGCCCGCATGCCCAGCCACCGCATGCCGAAACAGCTTTTGTTCGGCCGGATTGAGGGGGCTAAACGGGCGCGGCACGGGCTAGAGAAGAAATGGAGTGATGTGGTACAGGAGGACGTGGAACTGAATTGACTTGCCGATGACTGGTACCAGCGGTGTCAAGATCGGCCTCTGTGGAGGAGGCTCGTGAAGGACGCTACTGGGCAGTTGGAGGCAGTCGCCCTCCAACAACAACGGAGGGCGGAGGAGTGACGCTCACAACAACGAGCGGAGCGCCGGGTGGCTAAATCACAGCAGGTTGGCACAGTAGGGGGCACAGGTGGTGCATCAGCCAGTCATCTCAGTCAGTCGACCCGTGGCACCTGGGTCTGCCCCGTGACCTCCTGCCAGCGGGCGTTCAACACTTCACGTGGCCTCAGGGTGCACATAGCCTGGCACAAGCGTCGTGGTGACGTCACCGCCACTTAGTGGCGAATGGCGGTTGTTGTTGTTTTGTGTGGAGTGTGTGTGTGGAGTGTGTGTGCGTGGAGTGTGTGTGTGGAGTGTGTCTGTGTGTGGAGTGTGTGTGTGTGGAGTGTGTGTGGAGTGTGTCTGTGTGTGGAGTGTGTCTGTGTGTGGAATGTGTCTGTGTGTGGAGTGTGTCTGTGTGTGGAGTGTGTGTGTGTGTGGAGTGTGTGTGGAGTGTGTCTGTGTGTGGAGTGTGTGTGTGGAGTGTGTGTGTGGAGTGTGTGTGTGTGGAGTGTGTGTGTGGAGTGTGTCTGTGTGTGGAGTGTGTGTGTGGAGTGTGTCTGTGTGTGGAGTGTGTCTGTGTGTGGAGTGTGTGTGTGGAGTGTGTCTGTGTGTGGAGGTGTCTGTGTGTGGAGTGTGTCTATGTGTGGAGTGTGTCTGTGTGTGGAGTGTGTTTGTGTGTGGAGTGTGCGTGTGGAGTGTGTCTGTGTGTGGAGTGTGTGTGGAGTGTGTGTGTGTGGAGTGTGTCTGTGTGTGGAGTGTGTCTGTGTGTGGAGTGTGTGTGTGTGGAGTGTGTGTGTGTGGAGTGTGTGGAGTGTGTCTGTGTGTGGAGGTGTGTGTCTGTGTGTGGAGTGTGTGTGTGTGTGTGGAGTGTGTGTGTGGAGTGTGTCTGTGTGTGGAGTGTGTGTGTGGAGTGTGTGTGTGTGGAGTCTGTGTGTGGAGTGTGTCTGTGTGTGGAGTGTCTGTGTGTGGAGTGTGTGTGTGTGGAGTGTGTGTGTGGAGTGTGTCTGTGTGTGGAGTGTGTGTGTGGAGTGTGTGTGTGTGTGTGTGGAATGTGTGTGTGGAGTGTGTGTGTGGAGTGTGTCTGTGTGTGGAGTGTGTCTGTGTGCGGAGTGTGTCTGTGTGTGGAGTGTATCTGTGTGTGGAGTGTCTGTGTGTGGAGTGTGTGTGTGTGGAGAGTGTCTGTGTGTGGAGTGTGTCTGTGTGTGGAGTGTGTCTGCGTGTGAAATGTGTGTCTGTGTGTCGAGTGTCTGTGCGAAATGTGTCTGTGTGTGGAGTGAAACAGTACTGCCCCTCCCCTAGGTCGACTCAGCTTTACCTTAGTACCTGGTGTGGTGTGTGCTAATACGCGTGTGTGTATATATCACCATTGGTGAATCAAATTACATCTTGTGACAATAACCATGAGCAGAAGGAGCATTCCCCAAAGGAAACTGTCATTGATTTTTACGTCGGATTAATCTCACTGGGTACATATTTGAGCCTCAACAAAACCTGACATCATCGTCACTCATTGAGCCACCCTGTACGCGCCGTGTACTTACCTGTGCACATTACCGACACACACAATGACAACGTCCCCCCCCTGCCACCACCCCCCCGTAACGGCGTAATAGACTTTCGGGGCAAGTGCTGTTATCGAGCAACTATGAAGGCCGGCACGGCACATGAGGGGGTGGGTGACCAGCAGCGCAGCGCCACGTGCGGCACTGGCGGATCGTGACATGTCCACGAGGTGGGGTTGTCGCGTGAGTGACCTCGGTTAAAGATGCTGTTCTCGTGAAGAAAAACCTCGTCGCCTCATTGGGCCTTCCCGTGAAAGCGACGTAACTGTTTTATCTACCCAACGGGAGGCATCTGCAAACAATACGAAACAAAACACTCAAATGCTGCCCCCATGACCCTGAAGTCTGCGCGACGCAATCGCTTTGACACTGCCAAAAAGTCTGAAGAACAATGAAAGATCTGTCGACACGACTCAACAAATGAGCCAAGGCAACCAAGACACCGCATACTGTCCAATAACAACAGACGAATACCGACCGTCGTGCGCCCACCCGCACACGA